TATTTAAAATTTAAGTTTTATAAAAAAACATTTAAATTATTTTACCCATAATAAAATATATATGACATATGGCGTCTACTTTCTAAATAAATAAAATTAAATATTTATATTTTACAAATAAAAAATGTTGCCGCCTTGTTTCTTAAAAAAAAGTTTAATTATATATTTATACCAAGAATAAAAGATACATGCCATCATATGGCGTCTAGCTTCTTCAAATAAAATTAAATATTTTTATTTTACAAAAAATATTAGTGCCAATATTAAAAATTTTTTTAAGGCCCGGCCCGACCCGGCCCGAATTTTTTTAAAAAATATTAGGCCCGACCCAACCCGAACCCTATTAGATATGAATTATAAAAAAATATATTAATAATACTTGAATATTGGGGCTTATTTAAGATATTCCTTTATTTGATTGTTATGGTAAAATATGTTGTAAAAATTTAGATATGAATTATAAAAAAATATATTAATACTTTGAATAAATTTGCAGGAAATTAATAATTAGATCAATCTGTGGGTTGTTAGGTAGTGTTAACCATCAACCAATATTATATTAATCATAACTATAATATAATATAATCTTATAACTATTAACTCATAATGTAAAAATTTTTATAAAAAAATATTAAGGCCCGGCCCGGGTTTAACAATCTTAGGCCCGGCCCGGATATTTTTTAAAAAAATTTTTTTAGGCCCGGCCCGGATATGTTTAAAAAAATTTTTTTAGGCCCAGCCTGGCCCGGGTATATTTAAAAAATTTAAAATACTGGCCGGACTTAGGGCAGGGCCTGCAGGTCTCTGATATATTTTAAACCATGTTATCATTCAAAATTAAAAATTCTTATTTGTTTTTTTAAAATATATTTCATTTTCATATCGTATATAATTTTATTTAGAAACCATTTTTTAAATAAAATTATTCGCTATAAGAAAATTTTTTTTAACCCCCCCCCCCCCCTTCTCTACGCCACTGATTATTCCTTGTCATTCTTGTGGGACATCAGCTAGTAATCATATAAATGCAAATATTTATTAGATTATAGGAATAGATCCTTTCTTAAGGGTTTTTTTATTTATAATGGAAGCCACAAAGCACTCATTAGTAAATTGTTATCCACAGATTTTGAATAAGTTTGCATCTTCTCATAATATGGATCCATTCTTCAAGATGATCTTTATTATAAGTAAATATATTTTGATACAAGTACAAGCAGGGATTCGAACTGAACTCGAACCCGGAGAAGAAAATCCGGGTTTTTAGAAAAAAATCTAAACCCCAACCGAACCTGAATCCCATTTATAAAATTTTCAAAACCCCGAACCGAACCCGGGAATTTTATTTGAAACCGGGTTCAGTGTATTGTTTAAAATCATATAAGATATTTGTATAATTGTAAATAAAATATGAATAATTTAGTTGAGATTAGTGATCTGCATAGGGCCTAATTTTTCAAGCCCGGCCTGGCCCGAACCCGAAATTTTTTTAAAAAATTTTGCCGACCCGGCCCGAATTTACTTAAATATAGAAATTAATTTTTATAATAACTCAAAATAAACGATATGTTATTTGGCATCTACTTTCTATAAATAAAATCACATATTTTTATTTTACATAAAAAATTCAACATAAAATTGATGCCCGACCCGACCCTGCCCGAATTTTTTTAAAAAATATTAGGCTGGGCCGGGTACGGGCCTGGCTTGCAGTAGTGCTGTTGGTCGGAGCCGAAAAATTGGCTTAGGCTCAAGCCGGCTCAAAAGTTGGCTCAAGCCGGCTCAGGAGTTGGCTCAAGCCGGCTCAGGAATTGGCTCGAGTCTAATTTTGAGTCAAAATTTATTAATTTAAATATTTTAAAAGAATATAATAAATATTTTTTTTGTTTTTAAATTTTTTTAAAATTATTATATTATGGAAATAGATTTATTTATTTGATGTTTTTTTTTAATAAAAAAAAATGCTATGCTGATATTGTAATATTATTTTTGTTACAATTTATTAGTAATCTTCATGTCATGCCCAAAATTTTAAGCAGAAAAAATCTTTTGAAAAAGATTTTTGAACATTTGATAAGAATTTTAAATTTTCTTTGTAATTGAGGAAATTTTTTGAGAATTTTATTATAAATAAACTCTTTTAGATGAAATCTTTTATAGTTTTTTTTTATATCTTTGTAAAATTATCTATTTTTATGTATATTAAAAGAATTGGTTTCTAAATTACTTTTTTTAAAATATTTATTTGCTAAAATGTTTAAATAGAATTTCAGTGAAAATGTACTATAGATAAGTGACAATTGTCATAATCGTTATTTTTAAAGTTTTTTAACGCAAATGGGTATAAATATATATTGTAAACATGTTAAATTAAAATTTCATGAAGATGTACTATAGATAGACCTGTGCGCTGCAGGCTCACGCCGGTATTTTTATTCACGCCGGAAAAGCCGCCGATAGCTCGCCGCCGATTTTTATTATGGCGGCGGCGCGGCGTGTTTAATTTTTAGAAAGCATATTAATTATATTTATATATTAAATTATTATTATTTTAATTTGAATACTAACATTAATAAAATTAAAATATGAATTGTATTCTATTGCTATATATAATAAACTAGTGTATATCATTTACATTCATACATCATATTTTATTACTACAAACAATTCATATTAATTATTTTTATAGACTTGCACGTTTTAAACTACCCTATATACAATTATGAAAAACAACTCTCTCTACTAATCATAAATCAAGTTATGTCTGAAGGTACTTCGGAAATCTTATTTTGAAGATTGAAAATAAGAAAAGCACAATAATGCCTGATTATATTTATTGTAAACCTTGCTTAAAATTGGCGAAAAAAGATGACGAAGATTCGAATAAACATAATTCATTTTCACAGTATATTATTTTTATTTTAGACCTATATTTATATATATTTTTAGTTATGAAATAAAATGTTTTAGTAGAAATATAAGTACAAGTAATCTATTTCGGCACTTAATTAATTATCACAAACTAACAGAAAAAATAATTATATTCTAATTATTTTAAAGATTATAATGAATCACGTTTGATTGATAAGTGTCGGTAATAATTTTTGTAAACTTTAGTAAATTGTCATTTAACAACATTTTCCTCTAAGCTTATAAATTATAAGGCTTAGAGAAAAATTAAATCCAAAATATTATTATAAATCACATATAAATCTGATATCATATTGGCAGTGCATGCTACCAGAGTTAGTGTGGACTATGGAAAGATGTTTTTCAACGATTAAATTTATAAGCTATCTCCTTATAGATGTAATTTGAGTGGGACGAATTTTGAAGGTATATTAATTGTGTGGCTTAATAAAAAAAATTTAAGTAAAAAAAGTAAAATATTGTTCATATTAAAATTAATCATTGATATTTATTTTTATATTTATAAATTAAATTTTATTTTATAATGTGCAATTAATAAAAATGAAGGTTTTTATTTTAATTATGAAATAAAAAAATTTTTTTCCTTATACTTAATCCTAATGTAAGTTTGAATACAAAAGTGTTCAAACCGGTTTTTAGAGGATCGAACCGAACCGATATTTTTATTTTCTGCAAACCGAACTTAAACCTTGAACCGTTATTTTTACCTGAACCAAACCGATATTCGTTTCGGTTTGGATCCCTGCTAAAAATTAGAGTAATAAAAGTTAAATAAAAATGATGAAATATGTTACAAAAATAAAATATCTTTTTAAGTTAACAATAAAGAAATTTATAAAAATAAAAATTGTTTAAGTTAAGGCTCAGGTTAAAAATAAAAATATAAAAAATACTGCATTAATAAGAATATTTGAATATATAAATAAGATAAATTTATTTCATAACTATAAAAATATAAAATGATGTGAATATTTGTATATCTATAGTTTATTTTTTTATATTTTATTTAAATCGCATATAAATATGAATGGCTAGATAGATTATGCATATATATTGTTTTTAATTCAATATCCCATTAATTATATACTATTATGTATTTTTATTGAGAAATAATAATAATAAATAATTATTATTTATTTTCTTTTATATAAAAAATAAAAAACATTTTTCTAATATAGTTTTTTTTTAACATGATGATTTTAAAATGAAAATAAAAGGAAAAAAATTACTGACATGGACATGATACTTATAAATTTTTGGGGAATTACAGTGTTGTGATGATTTAATGAAACATATTGACGATTAAATTCAAACCCATTCATATAAAATTATAATATTTGCTAAAATAATTAAAATAACAAAAGGAATAATAAAAGAAATTTCAAATTTTAATTATTTTTACAAATATTATAATTTTATATGAATGGGTTTGAATTTAATCGTCAATATGTTCCATTAAATCATCACAACACTGTAAATAGAAACTGAATAATAACATTTTTCCAAAAGATACAATATAAAAATAATTAACTATTGTTTAAAAAATTCATATATAAATGAATGTAGAAAATAATTATATATTATTTATAATATATTAGGAAAATAAATTAATAAGAAAATTTCCGCAAGATAGAACATTTTAAATATAAAAAAATTCATAAATGCATAATACTTAACGTTAAAATTATTACAAACATAGACTTAATAAAATAAAGGTTGCTATTTTGCAAATGGCTGTCAAATGAAAGACGTTTTTATAACATTAATAAAATAATTTAATACGAAAGTAATATTTATTTAAAATAAACAATATATAAAAAATTCAATTAATTTTTTTTATAAAGTAGCTATTTTTTTTTGTCAAATAGGATTAACTAGCACTTTCAAAAGTAATATTTAACAACATTGAGCTATCGGAACGGAAATGATAATAATTATTATGATTTATCGGTTATATTTGTTTGACAAAATAAGATTGATTCTTTTTTTATTTCACGTAATTATCGAATTTTAATATTTTACCTAAATTTAGGTATTACAGTGATTATTTTTTTAAACAATATAATAAGATTCAAGATACAGCCAAAGAATATTTACAGAAACTAGAATCAATCCTTTCCTCCAAACAAAAAGAATTGCTATCGGGATTATAAATAATATATTTCAATTAGATATTAATAATGTTATTTAATTTCATTAAAATCTTTATATGTATCAAACTTTAAATTATTTTAAAGTTTCGGAATTCGATAATAAAATTTCCTTCTCTTTTTGATAATTTTCTAATAACAATATTTAAGCCAAGAGTTAACAAGTTTTTAAAAATAACGTAATAAATATATCACAAGTTATAAAATTTGTTACATTTTCATTGTTTGTTATAACAATAAAAAATATTTTATTTCAATCATTATTCTATGAGATAGTAGTTTGTTAAACGTCCCGATTTTGGTCGATTTTTAAAAATGGCCCGATTAAGATTTTGCCAAAGTAATATTAGGAAGACTCGAGATTTGGCAAATAGAGGTCCAAACCTTTCTGCCATCTACGAATCTTTATATATTATTATTTTAGCTAAAATCTTAATCGGGCCGTTAGACTGGGGCATTTTCTATCTATCATACATAACCACAGATTATGTCATGACTTTATATGCATTTCAACATTTCGCTTATAATTTGATCTGGTTAGAAGTAAGTTATGTTAAATGGTCCATCTCAATCCTCGACCAAAAAATGCAGAAAAATTTACCAAATAGTTAAATAGGCAAATTAAAACTTGAATTTGTTCATTATATTAGTAAAAATGGAAATTTTGAAAAAGATTCTTCTCTGGAAGTGAATAAGGCCCAGAGTATCAATATATATCCAAGGAAGATGAGCTTATAAATGTTTGTTTAGGTTCAGAAATCTTTAATGATTCACAAAATCACATATTATATTTTTATAGATTGTTTCCTTATATATCCCTGTAAATATTTAAAATCTTATTATGATTTAAAAATAAAGGAATGAAAAGGAACAAAACAAGTTTAAAATTAATCCTAAATTCTATTGATAATAAATATTTGTTTTAAATAAAATAAATTTTGTTCTCTGTGGTTATAGAATTTATTTCAATCCTGAAATTGCTCTTGTCGCTATTAGATAGATTTCGGGACTCTTCCTTCCCAATATGCAAAAATTGTAGTTTGATTAATCTGTTCGATGCAGTTGATACCTATTAATCGTGTTTATTTATATTATTTGATATTTGACTTTTGTTATTTTCTTATATTTGAAATAAGGACTCAGGTATTTATTTTGACTTATACTAATGGAAGGAAGTGCATTGTCTATCATACATTTATTAAATGCCTCAATACCAAGTTTGTATATGCTTTCTAGCCCTGTATATTCTTCATTTCATAATATATTATATCATTGGTGATCAAGGAATGCGTCATTTTTTAGTTTTAACTCCGTTGACTTTATTGAAAAAGTGCAAATGTGGCATTAAGTTTTTAAAGATAACTATATCAGTGGAATTAAGTACAAATACGTGTTTATAAGATATAAGATCCTTTTGTATATTGTCCTCAGTATCTTTTTGACATTTTTAATAAGATAGTATATATATCTAAGATCCTTTATTTTGAAAAAAATCTAGTATCTTTTAAAATTTACATCTCAAAGAATGTAACCTTATTTTCTTGGTTGAATTTTGTAATAAGTTTCTTATTTTTTTCCGAAATTTTTAAAATATATTGACAACCAAAATTAACTGGAAAATTTACAACACACATTAAGATAGATAAAAAAATAACACCAAAAGTAAATAATATATTTTTACATAAATGTAACTTGATAGAATATCATTACCAATTTTATGTAATAATTTTTTAATTTGTAGGATGAACACTTATGGTAGTGAAAGAGAAATTATGGAAATAAGTTCCCCTGAATCGAGTCGCAATCTTAATTAGATGAAAATATTTTTAAAATATCAAAAAAAATAATGTACAGACTGAATGTCAAACCTGTACAAACCAAGGTTAATTTTATTATAATATAATTATTTATTATCTTTAAATTAGAGATGCCATTTAGGCATTTATACCAGAGTTGTACATTTGCTCAAAATGATCTTTGAAGATCGTAAAATTTGAAGATCTTTTCATGATATTTATTTTTTTACCCCTTTTTTAAAAGCCCAGATGTTTTTCAATTTTATTAATATAATATTTCTTTTATGTTTTATACCTCTCCTCCTGCCTTGATGAAAATTGAAAAACATCTGAGCTTTTAATAAAGGGGTAAAAAAATAAATATCATGAAGATCGTTACACAAAATTTTTAAAAAATAAAAGATCTTCAAATTTTACGATCTTGAAAGATCTTGCTCAAATTTTTGAGCTAGATCTCGCTCAAAAATCTTCAAAGAAGATCTTTTGTACAACTCTGATTTATACATAATATAAGTTGTATTCAAAAGAGAAGCAAACCCAACAACCATAAAAAAATGATTCAACCCAGTAGATCAGCTTCATTTATTACCTTTAATAATATAAAACCAATAATTACACAAAATAAAATTGATAAGTTGAGATTTATGTCAAGAGTTTGGTTACATGTCAATACCGCGAAAATTTTAGCGCGAAATGTATTATAGCGAATGCATTATCGCGAATGTCGATTACTGCGAAAAGATATTATAGCGAATGCATTACAGCGAATGCATTATCGCGAATATAATAGAGCGAATGCATTACCGCGAATGCATTATAGAGAATATAATACAGCGAAAATATTATAGCGAATGTAATACCGCGAAAATGTTATTGCGAATGTATTATAGCGAATACATTACAGCGAATGCATTATCGCGAATATATTACCGCAAATGCATTATAGCGAATGTATTATAGCGAATGAATTATCGCGAATACATTATAGCGAATGCATTATAGCGAATGAATTATCGCGAATGCATTATAGCGAATGCATTATGATATCGCGAATGGAGTTTCATGAAAGTTACAATTTTATATTTATCGACTTTTCGACTGACTTAGTTGGATCTGAAAATTAAGTTAAAATGGGGATTGGCTCTAAAAACATTTTTTTATTGAAATTAAGGCTAAGGCTTTTCTTTTTTTTGACTCAAAATATATAAAAAAGATTCTAAGTAATAAAATAGATTTCTCTTTTTCATCTAATCAATTTTAAATATTAAACATCAAGTTTTTTCTTTTTAATTTATTGAAAACTTGTAGAGGAGAACGGGGTTATGGCGAACACTAAAGGCAAACCTTAAGAAAATTATAAATACTTTATCATTTTTAATAAAAAATATCTCATTTTGTTCAACTCTATTAGTTTTATGATATGTTTAAATTTCAAAAATACATCTCTAATAATTTTTTCAAAATATCATTTTTATTGGAATTTTTTTCGTAACCGAGTGAACCCTACCCGGGGACGAACAAGCCCTTGGTCGAGGCTATTATAAACTCTGCTTAATTTCCCATATAAAAGTTATATATTTTTTTATTAGGATATATTTAATGATTTAAAACATAAAAGCGTTATATAAAATCATTTAAAACATTCACAATCTTTGCAAATAAAAAAACAATAAAATTGCAAAGCCATGTAACTAATAACTGACATTGAAAGCAGTCTTGAGTGTTATGCTTGATATAATTTATTTGTATACCAAACAATTATTTATCATATAATAACATTTTTCGATTTTTTTTCTTTTAGTTGGTCTCTCCTTGGCTTTTTTGCATGTCAAAAATTTTTTTTGCCTGATATGGCTTGGGGGAGGGTTGTATTATAACCACTTATTTTTTTAAAAATATTTATGAAAAATTTAAAACCATTTACTATAATAAAAAGAAAAAATTATCAACATATTTTTTTAGCGCTGGAAAGGGTATATCATATCAGTAACTAGGGGCTAGTAGAATTAGGTCGAATTAATTATATTATGCTTAAAAATATGATATAATAAGTCATTGGCTACTATTATAGCTTTAAATTCTATTTATTTTCCCTTTAACTTTCACCTTTTCTGGTGATTGATAATCAAAAGAATTAGAAAATAAATTAAAAAATTCATTAAAACTTAAACATTTTTTAAAATAAAATATCACATTTTGAAATTTTTTATGAATTATTTATATAAAATGGTGTATTATTGATAATAACAATTATCCTATAGGAGACTTAATAAACCAATATAATCTACAAACCTGTAGTTTGGGGCTTGTTGGGGCAAAAATTAACTTTTACTAGAATCAATCTTAAAATATAAAAATATTTATTAATAGGGTCTTTTGTAAAAAACGACTTAATCTAATCGTTAAAAAAAATTGAGTATACCAAATTCCACATATTTTTTAATAAAATACGAATTTCATAAATAACAAGTGACGTGTTTTAGAGGTAAATAATTTTAAAACGCTACTTTAAATAAATTAGACAATTAAGCTGGTTCTCTGGTTTTTTGGAACTTAATAAATGGGTTAAATATAATTTTGTCAAATATAAATCACTATTGCATTGTGATAATGTTAGTTGTAATGCATTCGCGATATTGCATTCGCTATGATGCATTCGCGATAATGTATTCGCTATGATACATTCGCGATAATACATTCGCTGTAATGCATTCGCTATAATGTTTTCGCGGTAATGCATTCGCTATAATGCATTTGCGCTAATATATTCGCTATGATGCATTCGCGATAATGCATTCGCGGTATTACATTCGCCGTAATGCATTCGCTATAATGTTTTCGCGGTAATGCATTCGTTATGATGCATTCGCGCTAATATATTCGCTATAATACATTCGCTATGATGCATTCGCGGTATTACATTCGCTATAATGCATTCGCTATGATATCTTTTCGCGGTAATCGACATTCGCGATAATGCATTCGCGATAATGCATTCGCGATAATACATTTCGCGGTAAAAGTTTCGCGGTATTGACGTGATACGCAAGAGTTTACACTCTTTAAGCATAGTTGATTAGCTTGAATTTATTAGAATGATGGAAAGTTATATAATTTAATTTATATAATATATTTTCTATATTCTTAGTAATGTTGAAAAAATTTTTTTCAAGGAGCCTTTGCATAGAAGAATAGAGGAAATTTCTGAGATCATGGTCTATACCCATAGTTTTTTGAATAACCTCACTGGGTAATATAATATTTTTTAAAGATTACGCATGAAAATCTTGAAAGGCAATCAAGAGCCTTGGCATGTAGAAGAATTGCCTAAATTGTGTTATTGGAATAAGTTTATAAAGAACATGGAATTTCTGATAAACATTTTTCTACTGTTAGGGATAATGCATGAAATTTTGGCAAGTCATTTACTGAATATAGTGTAAAATTAAATGATTTCGAGGATGAGGATGACCCATTAGAATTTAATGTAATCAATGATGGTTAGTACAGAATTTTTTTGGGAAAATAAAATTATGAAAAGATAAGGGAGATAACAAGTGGTACAGCTGAAAGTTCCTTGCATAACCAGGAAGAGCTTATACGATAGTATGATTTCACTGTTAATATATAGATCATATTTAAATTTATTATTTAAAACATTTGATTGTCTCATTTTTAAAAGTGGATAGTTTATATTGGAGAATATTGTAAGGTTTTAAGCAGGGATGTGAACCCGAACCAGGACCCTCGTATGGCTGAACCCGGACTCTTTTTAAAAGTGGAGGGTTCAATGGTTCTAGGTGTCATAAAAAATTTTAAAAATAAAAATATTTTTTTAAAGAATAATATAAATTTTTTTTAAATTTTATTAACTTTTTTTGTGGAATCATTTATTTTATCTTCGCGTTTTTCTTTCAATTTTCTTCCTGACTTCCATTTTGTTTAGAGATTGATATCATAATTTTCCAGTGTAATAATATTTTATTATGTAAATTTATTAATATGCTATGTTATAGAAATACGTTGATTATTTTGAAAGTGAATTATTTTGTAGTACAAGTAATAATATTTTAATTTAAATGATAATGCACACATTGGCCCTCAATTTGTATGATCATAGAACGATTATTAAGTTCGAAAGATTTCTGTAATGATTTTATTATAGGAGCATGTGAAGTCATTTTGTCGGAAGATGATTGGTGCCAAATAAAGGACCTTACTAGTGTATTAGTTCCTTTAAAAATAACAATATTAAGATTACAATCAGAACAATTATGTTTATTTGATTTTAAGGCATATGGATTAGATGCCGATTAGATTTAGAAAAATCTACAATCCTTTTTATACGAAATATTAATAAATATGAAAATTCGAGAGCAATAATATTTGCGAAATAGTGTACGCTTCTATCTATTTAGACCCTCGATATCTAGTTTTATTGAGTATTTAGCAAAAACAAATAACTAAAGACCATCTTAAGGATTTATGGCATAAGCAAAACTCCTTTATTTACAATATATTGAAGGCTACGACAATACTATTGGTTGTAGTGATAATAATAATGATAGCAACATTGATGATCTTGAAATTTTACTTTTAGATAGAGAAAAAAACAAACAAATTATCATCAGATAGAAAGGAGGATCAAAAAATGCCTATTGAATCTTTAATAGTAAAGTTCTCAGAAGTTAAGAGAATAAATAAGGATATAAATATTTTAAAATTCTGGAAATAAAATTCTTCAATATATCCAGAATTATATATCTTATCTAGAATCTTCATTGCTGTACCAGCGACACAAGTACAATAATTTTATAAAGATAACTATCTATTTTAGGTAAGGGTAGAAAGTAAATTTTCATCTTTGAAATATATATTGTCTACTTTACGTGAAAATCTCAAGGATTATATTTTAGAAGATATTATGATTGTGCGAGAATAAAACATTTAAAATATAAATTATTTCATTTACAAATTAAAATTTTATTTTGAATCATTATTTTTATGTTCCCTGAACCCGGACTCGGGTCCTTTCAAATTTTATTCCTGTACGAACCCGGACCTGGGATGATGAATAAGGCTTTTTTGGCATCATTATCAAATCCATATTTTAAGATCTTATGAAAGTTGATAAAAAAGTTACTTTCAAAATATATTATTAAAAGAAGCCTTAAATGTAGTACAAGCAGTATATAATCACCGTAATCAAGAAATGAACGTTTTCGTATAATCTTAATGTTAATTTTTTCTATCAACTTTCCTATCTTCTTAATGTTAAATAAATCGATGGAGACTATATATCTCTAATGTTAAATTTTAAGAAAATTTTTTGTACATCACGGGATTCGAACCTATGACTTAACGTTTTAAAGGCAAAAGTTCTTCCACTCAGCCACCTACTATATTAAATTTTGTAATATAATCTTTCTTATATATGTTATTATTTTGCTACTAACATTTATTTTTCAATTAATTTATATAATTTAGATCTTATTGTGTTTATATTCAAAGTAAAATTTATTAATTTTATAAAATTATTTTTATATTACAATTTAGATTTAACAAATAAACTTAAATTATTTACCACCCCAAAATATGGCAATAAAAATTTTTTATTTCAACCACAATAAAAGATAAGTATGCGAAATCGATTATTAACCGAACAAGGCAAGTGGTAAAATTATTAAGAACTCAACGATAGTTAGAATCTTGAAATCACTGAAAAAAACCATGGCAATAATTGCTTACAAGATGGTCACCTGTTCACGATATGCTGGATCGATTGTTAAAATTTAAAGATTTTTGTATGGACTTTGTTATAACATCGGAAGTTAATCTAGAGGAAACAGAATGGGATTCAATAGCTAACATAACTGTAGTTTTAAAACCACTTAAGGTGACAACCTTGAGGATACAACTGGAGCAAATGTGCCTCTCCGATTTTTATGACATTTGGATAAAATGCCGTTTAGAATTAGAAAAAATAGACAATATTTCCAATGAGATATTAGGGCATATGAGATTTAGAGAAGATATTTATTTAATAATAATATTCTTTATGCATCACTATATTTAGACCTTAGATATCGAATCCTATTATCCATTGATCAGGAAGAGGTTGCTAGAGCTCATTTATCGGAATTATGGGAAAATATAAATCATTAAATTATAAATTATTGAATTCATCAATATTAATTTCAGCTACAAATGATCTTGGACAATAATGATGATTTTGAAAAATTGTTATTAGAAAAATAAATTAAATTGACACAGCATCAAAGTTCCAATTAACTCATTATTAGAAATTTTTCACACCTTAAAAGAATTAATAAAGATGCAAATATTTTAGACTTCTGGGAAGAGAATAGTTTAATTTAACCAGAATTATACCTGTTGGCGGAAATTGTTCCAGGTGTCCCGCAACATAAGCACATTATATATAATATATTAATCATAATTGCTAAGTTAGCGTTGAACTATCATTCTCATAATTAAAAATTATATTGTCGGACCTACGTGGAAATCTTAATGGCGATATTTTAGAAGATATTATGATAATTCGCCTAAATAAAATTTCCAAAATAGAAATATAATGGTATTTTTTAAATTGTAAATTATTTTTATGGCAATACTAATTAAAATAAATTTAAAAAAAATGATGTTTCTGTTATTTTAACCAATGTTATTATTTTTCTGATCTCCGAACTCGAAACGGGTTCAGGGCTTTTCACTGAACCCAAACCCATTTTTTTAGAAGGAGGGTTCACATCCCTGTTTTTTTATTCGCTCCCCAAAAGGTAATCATCTCATTTAAAATATGGACAAGGTTTATGGCTACAAATAAATTATGGTCGCTTTTTTAATTTATTTATAATTATTATAAAAAAATATATTTACATATACAATAATAAAATATATATTTACATATACAATAATAATATAACCATAAAATCGAATTTATTTTTAAAAAAATATCCGATAAAAAAATAATAAAGAATAGAATTATCCCAGATTGCTAATAATTGAAACACTTGTAAATTAGTGTGGAAAGTATAAATATATATTTGATGATTATTTTCTATCATATTTATATATTTTTAAATATAGGTTAAAAAAATACAATGTAAATAATTAAATCTTTTAATTCACTTAGCTAAATAAAGGATTTATAAATTCAACCATGATTTAATTAAAAAAAAATTGATTAAACAATCATAAATTTAAAATAATCAGAATCATCCCAGGATAGCTTCAAACTCCTTAAAAGTATCAGTTATTAAATTGACATGATATTGCCTATCGATGAAATTATTTTTATCTTGGTCATCTGAATGAGATAGAGGTATCTAAAAAAAGGTTGAAAATTTTATATAAAAATTTTATTTTTGTTATATTCATTTTATATAAATATGCAAGAAATGTCAAAATAAATCGATATCTTATTAATTAAAAAAAGTTTTCATCAGGTGCATTACTTAATATTGGGCCCCCAATTATCTATACAAGATAACAAAAATTATTTATATAAAATGTAAATTTAATATTTTAAGATGGTTTGATTCTCATTATGAAATTCCTTGGAAATTTGTAGTCCTCCCATGGGAAAATTTTCATTTTGAACTGTCAAATTCTAAATAAAACATTCGTATATTCATAGGATCAAAATTCCCAAAATTGGGCAATATATTAACAGATTCTTTAATTTTTTCTTCCCGAATCGTATAACTAAGCAAGTGAATTAATCTCCATACAGCATTCTATTCGAGACTACATATATCTTCCAGAGATGTCGAAAATTATTTTATATTTAATTTTACAAGTTTTTGATTTCTTAGTACAATAACCTTAGGACAGCACAAATTTAACCCAATACATAGTTTCGGTAAAATCAAGCGGAGAACCACGTTTAATATCAAATTCTTTCAAGCTATATTTATTCATCTAACCCTAAATAGGCCTCTTAGTTTAGGTGATATCCTTCAAAAACTAGCGTTCAAAGGCCTAACTATTGTATTCAATGTTCAGATTGAAAAATTATTTAAAAAATTTGGGGGTTTTTGCAATTAAAGCGGTGTTCGAAAGACTAAAGTTATACATATTTATATGACATCTTAATAAAAATTTTATTTAGCTTTTTATCAAAAATTTATGGAAAAGGTGCAAAGGTAAAAAAATTTAAGTCGATTGCTAAGAAAAATTGGCAGTATTATAGATACAAAAATTATAAAAGATTTGCCAAATTTTTCTACTTTGATTTAGGGAACTTCCTTTCCCAAATCAAAACCCTCTGGTTTCAACCCTTTGAATTATTACGGTATTATCGAACATAGTATTTGGAAGAAACATAAAAACAAGGAAAACCTGAAATTTCATATTAATAGTATATTTTACATGATTTATGTCATTTGACCTCAATTTTGATTGAATACCCATGTTATCAATATGATTGATTATTGGTTGTAAATGGTTTCCAGCATCGTACTTTAACAAATCAGGATAGTCTAATTTTATTGCATAATTTGGAGACGAAAAATGATTGATTGTTAGGAGAGGGCTTTCCAAGCTTTTCTTAATGGCGTAAGACGTTTTATTGTAATTGGCGCAGATGCTTTGGTATATATTTGGGTATTTTTCTTCAAAAAATATTTTATAATTAACTATTTCTATAAATGAATGTTTTTAACCTTTAATTTATTTAAAAATTACAATACCTCTCTTATCAACCAGGTATAATGACTCCTGTTTAATTTAAAAAATGATTAGATATTTATTCAAATTTTTAAAAAAATGCATAGTATATATCAGGGTTGGCAAGTCGGTCAATTGACCGGAGAAATATTTGACCTGGTCAAATACTCTAAAAAATCGCAAGAAGAAAAAAATAATATAATAAATTTCAGAAGTAAAAGCGGCATGTTTAAAAGCAAATTATGTGGAAAACAATAACTTCCATAAGAAACAATTTCCAGCTTCAAATTAGTAGAATAAGTTTTGCACCATGCCCATTAAAAGAAGTGGAAATTTTACTAACAATTCCTAGTTTTACTTCCATTAGTTATTGAATGACAATGAATTTAAAAAATATTATAGATTTATTTTACTATTATATATAAAATAAAGTTAATATTGTCTTAAAAAACATTTATTTGAATTTGACCGTATTTAATCATATATGACCAGTCAAATATCGGTCAATTGATCGAATCGTATTTGATCGGTCAAATACACAATCCTGGTAACTTAATTAAAAAATAATGTGTTAAAGTATATAAAGGAAAGAAAAATTATAGGTGAAGGGAGAGGCATCCCATTAGAATTCCGATCTGAAGCATCTGCTTCAAATGATAGAATTCACGGAATTGCCTGTTAAACTGTTTATTTTTTCTAGAGTGTAAAGCAGAGCTCGATGAGAGTATATGGAAGATGATAAGGTTGAGCAGTAACACGAATAGTTCTATTTAAAATCGAAAAAATAATTTTTATATTTAGTATATACTTGAATAAAAAGTATTTAATGTTTATTTAATTACTAAAAAACAATAAATATTTTGTATTTATTACGATTTCAGATGAATACAAATAGCTTTTTAATTTTTTATTATAAATTTAATTATAAAATTAAATTTGTGACCGGAAGCGAAAAAATTAACATCTTCCATTTTAAATAAATCTTATTTTTAAAATGAATATTACCAAAAGCGAAAATATAAGTTTTTTTGAAGATGAGTAAGATTAGTAAATGAAGAAAATTTCTATGTTAAGCTATTATGTTATTTTTGCCGGGACTTTGTAAAAACGCCAACAACATTCTCTGAATGGACAATTTTGTATAATAAAAAATTTTAAAAATCTAAAATCAATATTATAGCGAAAGCTAAATGTAATATCTGCTCAACTATAAATAGAACCAAAATCATAAATGGAACATCCTCCAACAATTTAATACATGAGCAGTAAAACTTTATATTAATAATATTTTCAATAATTAAATAATTGTGATGCTATTGCAGCAACAATATATTATTAATAATGTTTATATTACTGCAAGTCAAAGTTGTTAAATTATCTAGATACTTTACCTAGATATAAAAATGTGGTATCTGTATACACTTTTATAAAATATCTGTATCTAAATACCATTTAGGAGTATTTGTATTTATTTTTAGATACATTTTGATATAATTTTATATTACTTTTTTTACATTAAAAATAATATGTGAATTAAGTTCATTTAATAATATGTCCAGTTGTAGTCTAAAATATGATCATGATCAGGAGGACTTGTCCACTAAAATCTTCTTCAAGAAGGAAAAAGGTAGTGAAAATAGTTTTCTGAATTATATTCATTAGCGATTAATAGGGCACAAGAAGTAATCAATTCATAGGCGCATAAGGAGTAATCCAAAGTAAACGACATAAGTATAATACATGATTAATCATAATACATGATTAATCATAATACATGATTAATCATAATACATGATTAATCATAATACATGATTAATCATTCATAATACACAATACATAATCTCTGACAGAAGTTTAACAAAAATGTTTTTTATATATCCATTAAAAAAAAAATCAATTATTAAGTTACTCAAAACGAAAAATAAAATGTTCGTTTAAAATTGAATTTAACTTACAGGGTTTCCCATTCAAAAAAGGAAAAGTCCCAATCAAAAAAGGAAAAGGTCCAAACAAAAAAGGAAAAGGTTCAATCAAAAAAGGAAAAGGTCCAAACAAAAAAGGAAAAGTGTCAATCAAAAAAGGAAAATTCCCAAAAAGAAAGGAAAAAGTCTGATCAAACAAAAAAGGAAAGGTTCAATCAAAAAAGGAAAAGTGTCAAACAAAAAAGGAAAATTCCCAAAAGAAAAGGAAAAGTGTCAATCAAAAAAAGAAAATTCCCATTCAAAGAAGGAAAATCGTAATTTTTTCTTAAATTTTTATTTATTTGTCATTCCTTCTTATTTTATTTCCAACTTTTTTGCTATTTCTTTACTTTATTTGCATATTTTCTCAATTTATTTTTCTTACTATATTTTTTCTTCTCATTTTTGATAATTCTTTTGTATTTTTAAAAATAACTTATAAATTTAGGTCCATTTTTTAACAATTCTTTATGTTTTTTTTCATCATACATATGTCTTAATTTATAGAGGGCTCATAACTATCCGGGATCTTCACGGGATTTAAAGGGAACCCTTTAAAATTACAATTTTTTGAAGGATAAAGAACTATACGGCATTATCACGTTTGAACCATGATATAGAAGAATCTTATTTTAAATTACGATTTTCCTTTTTGAATGGGAATTTTCCTTTTAAGATTGAAACTTTTCCTATTTTGATTGGACCTTTTCCTTTTTTGAATGGGAAACCCTGTATGTTGAGGGCCTGACAGTCATACCCATCAAGACAAAAAATGAATAATTTCAATATAAAGATATTTAAATTAGATTTTATTTGATACCCATATCGATATTTTGTGGTGATAAAAATATTCCTGACCCCCCAAGACCTAGACCCGCCCTCTACGAGTGTTATTATTATTACAATAAAAAATATTTTTATTAGCCTTTATTTGATACCCATATCAAAAAAATTTATTTTTTACACCCCCCCCCCCCCCCCCCCCACCCTCATACCAAGTCATGCCCATCCAGACCAAGAATGAAGACTTTCAGTCAAACCATATTAAAATTAGCTTTCATTTGATACCCAATCGATATTTTGTGTTGATAAAAATATTTCTCACCCCCCAAGACCTAGACCAGCCCATTATGGGGGAGAGATTGACCTCTAGTTGAATAGATCTTTTGATTAGGTATCGATTGATACCCTATATTAGACATATCTTATTTCATAAGGCCAAAAAAAACAAGATTAAAAATTAATGAATAACAATAAAATTAAAAAACGAAACGAAACGCGCGGAAAACGCTTTTTAAAATAAGATTCTTCTATATCATGGTTCAAACGTGATAATGCCGTATAGTTCTTTATCCTTTAAAAAATTGCAATTTTAAAGGGATCCCTTTAAATCCAGTGAAGATCCCGGATAGTTATGATCCCTTTATAAATTACGACATATTATTAAAAAAAATCAGTATATATTTTTATTCATATTTTTCAGATTTTATGTCATTAATAATTTTATTTTTTGCTACATATTCGTTTAAATCTTTATTTGATCATTAATTCCGTTTTAAAGCTGATATAGATACCGATTACGGTAAAATTTTCATTAAAAATATGCGATTTGAAGCAGTTTTTGAATCTGGTAATTATTATATTTTAAATGGGAAAATTTTGGAGATCGAAAAAAATAATTATATTTTTTAGAATCTTTGTTTTTTCCTTTCTCAAAATATGGGTAAATAAATAAAAACATTGCCTCTTTAATTGTACGATTGAATTAAAATAAAAAATGATAGAGTAAGTTTCTGGTTAAACTATTTTTAATTATTTTATATTTTCAAACATTTATAATAAAATCGGTTTTATAAAAAAAATTATGAGAAAGCGTAAATCAATAGACGGTGTCTTGGGCAAAAGTAAAAAAAATTGGGAGATTACGCCAAAAGAGGATTGATAACTTATTTCTTATTTCCTAAAAAGTTAGTTAAGATTCATCTCCTAAAATAAAATATAATAATTAATTATTGAAAGTTAAAAGCCAGTTTTCATGCACCTGCCCTGATATTATTTAATTTTTATTTTACAATTATTTCGATATTAATTTCTTTTATAAATATAAATGCACAAATCCTTTTAAAAAATCTAAACACTTTAATTATAAAAAGAACCTGCGAAAAGTCATGACGTAGATGACGCTATTTCCAAATATTAAGGCGGAACATTATATTTATGATAAATGCCGTAAACGTTTATGGACTTTAAACTAAATTGGAATATCTCCTATTAAGAAAAAAAAACTAACTGAAAAAAATTATCAAAAAGAAAACGACAATAATGATATAATCAATGATATGAAATTATACCCTAATTTATCTAAAAATAAAAAATATCAATTGCTGACTATTTTGCCTCCTAATTGGAGCGCAAATAAAATAAAAAACGGAATTCAACGCTACCTATCATATGGCATATAATTCCAAAATCATTTTAGAAGAAAATGGGATTTTTTCAACTCCAAATCAAGAGCCTGCAAAATATCTCAATCAAAAAATAGTTGACCTTGTTAAAAATTTCTATTGCAGAAGTTAAGGCTATTACCAGGGAAAAAATATGCATATCCATCATTGAAAAGGAGGAACGAGTGAACGCTCAAAAAAAGGGCATACACTATGTGTTCCGTTAGTCCTACACACAATTTTGTTTAAAATTCTATTAATGGTATCTGTTAATGTGGATGCTATGGTGATGTTATTTAAATATTTGCTGTCAAATTTATATTTTCAATATTTTTTGTGATAACGTTTACGGCATTTATCACAAATTTAGTGTTCCGCCTCAAAGTTTGGAAATTGTGTCACCCACGTCATAACTTTTCGCAAGTTCTTTTTATAGTATGGAATTACCCTTTGACCTTATTTCCACAAGAAAACAAATCTTTATTTCCCCTGAAAGTATTTTCTTCTAAGCATATTGCTTAAATTATCTTTTCAAATAAA